CCCGCCCCGCCCCGCCCCGCCCCCGAGTTCGCCTCGCCCCACCCCCCACGCCCAGAGCCGAGCTCGCCCCGCCCTCGCAGGGAGAGGGGGCTTCGGGCGTGAGCGGCTGCTCCTCGTACGGGCGCAGCTGCCGGGAGCTCCGCAGCGGGGCAGTCAGCGATGGCCTCCGCCGTTGGGAGGGAGCTGGGATCGACTGTCCCCGGCCAAGCGGCTGCGCGGACCACCCCGCCCCGCCGGTAGGCTGGTAACCGCCGTGTGCGCGCTCCGGGCCGTTGTCAGTGGCCCGCGAACGGCTTTGCATCGGGCTCCGAGATGACCAGAGTCGGGGGCGCGGCTGGAAGCTGGTCCCTGAATTGGCCCTGTTCATCCCACGTTTCCAGACAAGGAGGAGGAGAGGCACTAGGCAGTGCCATGTTGTGTGCGCAGCCGTGCTGTTCGGCTACGCTCCTTCGTGAAATATTCCCGGGTTTTTAACACGTAGGGTGTCCTATGCGCAGGTTTAATGCTTAGGCCCCTGCCTTCCTATTGAGGATCGTACAAGTATTGGGCAACTGCCGTGCTTTCCTGGAAAAGCCATGCCATCTTAGAAGCCTTATACAACTCAAGACTAAGCAGGAAGAGGAGTCTGGCAAAAGGAAATGCTCCCAAGTTCAACATTTGTTAAGGCATATTGTTTTGGCAATGTAACAAATCTCTGGCCAGCTAAAACAACAGTTGTTTTGCTGTTCAGGATGTCTATATACCACTTCACAGCAGCACAGTATTCAAATCCTCTCCCAAAACCAAAGATCCTAGCATTTGAACCAGAGTAAAATTACTGAATTACTAATCACTATTTTTGATAGTGGTTTATGGTGCACATTTGACCATTTCTGACTCCATTCAGGTAATGGGTCTGGACAGATGACATGCATATATCTGCATAATTTGTTAATTGGGATAGTCTGGGGTAGTTGTTTCTTCAAGGCAGATGAGCCCTGTTCACTGGTAAAGCATTACACTGTCACCTAGCATGTGTAGCTTACTGAGGACGGCTGTTTTGTCTCTCCACTCCAAATCACCAACCTACAAAATTGATTTAAATTATACCAGTGTACATCTGTCATCTGCCCAGGCCTGGAGTAATACACATCCAACCTAACTCAATGGCTATATCATCAATACAGTATATGCTCAGAGTGACCAAAATAAGTCAGTCTATGGATCTCAAAAGGAGAGGAAGAGTTTGAACTCTTTTTGTATGAAATAAATGCTGAACACACAAATATGTTGTCTAAGAAACATTTGTAAAAGAACCTGCAGAACACCTTCAAAAACAGTTTTCTTCTGGTAAGGGTTATGCAGAAGGGTTACCACGGGGCAGGCAATGAAGAGCAAATGAGTTAACCTCCCCTCCACTCCTCCCCCCACTAAAAAAATGTACTCTTCTGTTTGTGAATGAAGTGAATGATTAACTACTGTTATAAACGTGAACTCCACTCAAGATGGCATGTGCCAAACAAACAATACGATCATTTTATTTTTCCCTGGGTTGCAACTTGCATCTCTACCTTCTATATGTCATATATCACTTTGGCAGGGTGTATATAAGCCAGCCGGTAGTTGGTAAAGGGAGAGGTGTTCTTTGGCCGATAGCACAGGTGTCTTTCCTTAGATTAGCAATTGCCATTTAGAGAACTGTCATGGGAGGAACATGGGTGGCTGGACTCAGTTGGAGCAAGTTGGCCATTCAAGAGGACCTCAAAAGCAGAGGAGTCAGATTTCACTTGGGCTGAGAGGACTGTATGTAAGAAAGGACCACTATTTGATTTTATTTGAACCTTAATCAAGGGCTCTGCAGTCCTTTCCTTGAGTGTTCCATGCTCGAAACATCTAGTCCTCAGTCAAAGCTGCTGAGAGGTCAATAGTTGTGCTGTGTTGTGTTATTTAGGTTGAGATCAGAATTTTATAAAAGGTGATATAGAAAAATACTGGAGCTATTAATCTTCATTACCTATTAACTGACTGTAAGCTAGATCTACCAAAGGACAAAAACACCAAAAGTAGGATTTAGGCAAAATTAAAGGAAACAAACCTATCCTAATGGTGACTGACTCTCCAGAGAGGGTTCCAGCCTGGGAGGCCTCTCACTGCAGCCCTTAGTGAGGTGACTGAGCCCCTGCAAGGAGCAGGATTTTAGTCTCATCATCTCCTTTTAGCTAGTCCTAGGTGATTCTTTGCTCTGTGTACTTTGGACCTCATTCTGAGGTATCTGAATTTCCATGTATGCTGCATCTTAAGAGCTAATTAGTGCAGGAGAACTTTTTAGTTGCCCAAGTCCTTCACTGGCTCTAGCTGGACCCCACAGCTCTCAGTGAAAAGAAAACTTGACAAGAGGCTTGTAAAAATTCTCTGTATTTTAACCATTTAAATATATTTTTTCTTCCATGAGTGATCTTTAGGTTGCCCTAAAGTCCTTAAGAGTTGAACCATTGAGGCTTCGATTTTTTTGTCATGCTACAGTATTCAAAATTAAGCCAGTGCAATTGAAAACTTGCAGGATTTCCTCTCATCAAACATCATGCAAACCAAAAAAATGAAGTCTAATAATACCTTGTAGAAAAAGTGACAAGGAACTGAATTAGTATTGATTTCTTACATGTAAGCAATGTGCACGGACCTATGAAGATACAGAATAAATATAGGCCTTGCCCTAAAGATTTATATAGTCTAATGGCCCTGAAGCTGAAATGTGCTTTATGAGGGGGAGGAGAAGGGGGGTGAACCTTATTGAACTTGGGGAACTTAGTAGTTGAATTGTTCTTTTCTGCATATAAAAAAACATAATAGGATGCACAGGGAAACCCATGGGGAAAAGAACTGGAGTGCTTTCATTACTAGAAAATGTATTTTTCCTGCTGCTTAATTGTTGCCGACGTTGCAAAAAAAAAGTCAGTTGTAGGACTACCCGGGCAAATATTACACTGGAATGATATCCAGTATCCAGTAGCTCTCCCATATCAATCAATTTATTTTGAAGTAACTTACTGTTTCAAATGCTTGGTGAAAATCTTGAGTTAGAGCGCTGAAATTCAGATTTATATTAATGGAATTGAGGGACGATCATAATTCATTCCTGTCTTGCAGCTGTCTTCAGTTTTCTTGTGTTAATGCTAAAGTTGGCACTATCTTTGATAATAAACCTAGATATTGATGAAAACTGCCATATTTAGAAATATTTATGCACTACATTTAGTTTGTACAGATTGAGATCAAAACCAGAAAAAATTCATTTTGATGAACTGCCACAATCCCACACTGCCTGTTTCATTGGCAACCAACCAAATTGAAGGTGAACGTAGCTTTCACCTCCTTTAACAATTGTTCTAAAAAGAAAGCCAAGCTGTTTGAATACATAGAGAAGGAACCAAATTCAGATCTGATGCAAGAGAGCTTATCTGAACTGATTTTCAATCTCTGTTCTGAATTCAGTTCCCAACTGGGCTCAGTAACACTAGTAATAATCTGGAACACATTTTCCAATCCTTATTTGGGCAGGAAGGAAAATTGTTCCCTGAGTTTCCATGGTGGCAGAGTCAATGAAAAGGGAAAATATCAATCTCTTTGAGACACTGTGACCTCTAGGATTCTTATGTGAGAGAGGTATCTATGGTCATTTGACCAATGTCTTTAACATCCCCTTGACACTCTTTGAAATTGTCTATTACAAAACAGATGGTGCAGTAGTTACATTTTTGAAGGACTAGAAAAGCATGACCGCATCTGGAATTAATCTTCAGCTCCCTGAATCAATAGATCACCCAGGTTTAAGAGGGCCTTTCAATCTAAAATGCTTTGCATAAGTGCATAGAAATAATACATGGCTTTTAAGGCAAAGCAGAAGCGATCTTGAACTATACATCATAGACGCAACTTTATCTGTGAGACTGCTGCATTTATAGGCAGTTCTATTTTACATGCACTTTTATAATCTTTGTAGCAAGTATTAGCAGTAAACTAAGTCATATGTTTCCTTTTTTCAGTGGAATAAAGAAGGGCATATAGTTTGTCCATAACTTATCATGAGTAAAGGGAGTCCCTTTCTATTCAGGGCTACAGTGTAGTTCTCTTTCACCCCAAAGGATATCAAAAGATTTAGCAAACTATATAACATACATACAACATCTTTCAAGCAAAGCTACTTTGCGGGTAGTAAGCTTCATAGACTCATACAAAAATAGGGCTAGAAAGGAACTCAAGCAAACCTCTAGTCCAGGGGTCAGGAATATTTTTGGGCAGAACGCCAAAAACACCTGCAACCTCAACTTGTAAGATGTTGGCATGCCAGAGGTAGACAGCAGGTGAGTCACAAGGGGCCCTTTTGTTGTGGCAGTGCAGTCCTGGCCCCTTTCCTGAGGTGCAAGTGCCAAGCACAATGCCTTAGTGTGCCACGCTCTGGCACATGTGCTGGGGGTGGCCTACCCCTGCTCTAGTCCAACCTGCCTCAAGGCAGGCTTGTTCCACTAAGCATTCCAGACAAATATTTATCTAACCTGCACTTAAAGATTTTCAGTAAAAGTAAATGCATAACCTCTTTAGGTAATCTTTTGGGAAACTCAACCACCATTATCGTTACAAAGTTCTTTCTAATATATAACTTGAATCTCTGTTGTTGCCGTTTAAGTCCATACATTCTTGTCCTGTCCCTGTGGACAGGAGATAGTTAATAACAACCACTGCTTTATTTGAAGAATCTTATCAAGTCTCCTGTTGGTCTTCCTTTCTGTAAACCAAATAATCCCAGTTCTCCCAACTTTTTCCCCTTATAATATTTTCTAGACCTGTAATAATTTCTGTTGTTCTCCTTTTGACTCTTTCCATTTGTTTGTATGTCTCCCAAAGTTCAGTGACCCAAACTGGCCACAGTAGTCTAGGTGAGACCTCACCAGTGCTGAATAGATTGAAAGAATCATTTCCCAAGACTT